AGCCGACCTCGTTACACAAGCACCTGTGTGCGGGCAGGGGCGAGTCCTGACGCGGGTGCTAGCAAGGGCCTGAGTCCCGCCCGGCCTCGGATCGGGGAAGGCCGCCTTGGGAGCCAAATAATTCTGCCTCTGCCCGGCAGTGTGACCCTCAGCCAAGTCACTGAACCTCCCTGGGCCTCCCTTTTCTCATTTTGCAAAAGGGAGATAACAGCACCCGCTTCGCGAGGCTGTAGTATAGATAAATGAGCCAAGCAGCTCACAGAAGTGACCGGCGCAGTGCTTGCTGTGGCCCAGGACCGCGGGTTACCCTGACTACTGCCTTGTTCCCTGACTCTGCCCCTTGTCCCTTCCCCCCTCAACCAAGCTGGGAGGCTGTCTCTGTCCTCTATTCCCCGAGGCGGGCACACAGGAGGTGTTCAGGGAATGTGGGGTAAACAGATAGGGCTCATGGTTAGGTGCCCGGGGTGCTTGGGCAGGGTCTTCCCACCCCAGCTGAAACTGAGGCCAGGCCACCTTGTTCCTTCCCCCCGCTGACGTGGAGGGAGGGGGCCTTCTGGAAGGAGCACTGCGCCGGGCCTGAGTGGGCACTACCAGCTCCCCTCCTTCCCTCTGTGCCACAGGAGGCCTCTCTGCGCTTCACTCTGCCGGGCTCGGGCACTGAGGGGCCCGCCAAGCAAGAGAACTTCATCCTAGGCAGCTGTGGGTGAGCCTGGGCTGGGCGGAAACCGGGGAAATGGGTACCTTGGCGGGTAGGAGGCATGACCGCAGCCCTGTCCTGCAGACCAGCTGGGTGTGCGATGGGACAGGAGGGGCAGCCCGCCGGGAGGGAGGGCTGGGTGGTGGGGGTGGTGACCACAGGCACCGCTCTGACGCCACGTGTTACAGCACAGACCAGGTGAAGGGTGTGCTAACTCTGCAGGGGGATGCCCTCAGCCAGGCGGTGAGTCCCCCAGCCCTGTCCCCTCCCATCCTGCCAGTGGGGAAGAGCATGGGGGCTCCCACGTTCTCTCTATACAAGCCCTGCGACTCTGAGCCCGACCCTTGATGTCTCTGGCCTCAGTTTTCTGCTTTGGAAAATGACAGCAGCCCTCACACCTCCCCCGGGATGGGTGTGTGGATTCAGGAGGACATGCAGGAGGGGGGGTTCTTTGCACACGGCCTGGCCTGGTGTCTGGACCAGTGAAACATGGGCATTGGCGGATTAGGCTGGCCACACATCACAATTGAATCAGCCAACGCCTGAGCTCCAGTCTGCACCCAACCCTGTGCCAGGCACCAAGGCGTGGGGGAGGCCCCCCTCCTGGGCTCCATCTGTTGGCCCCTGTAGACGCTAGATGCACCCCGTTCGCACAGAGCCTCACAGAGGCTGCCTTCTGTTTTCCCCTTCCCCTTTCTTCACCTCTTTCAATTTCACTCCTTCGTGGCTCCTCTTGGGCCTGTTTTCCTGTTTCCTGACCTCCCTGTTCACCGCCCAAACGGTCAAGGCATTGGGAGTCTGTCTGCCCTACACAGCAGCCAAGGCCTGAGCCACCACACACCCCATTTCTGCCCCACGCTTAAGGGCTCAGAGTGGCTATGGCAGGAGGCGCCCCCCGTGCCCGTTTCACCCCACTCTTGCCTGTCAGGACGTGAACTTGAAGATGCCCCGGAACAACCAGCTGCTGCACTTCGCCTTCCGGGAGGACAAGCAGTGGAAGCTGCAGCAGGTGACCCCGCCCCTCCTGGCTAGTGCTCAGCTACAAGGACAGGCGGCCGCAGGCCCACCACGGGGCCTCCCTGGCAAGGGCCTAGCCCTGGAGATCTGTGGCCACAGCAAGCCTGGGAGGGTGTTTCCTAGCAGCAAAGCTGGGGGCAGGTGTTTCCTGAAGCCCTGGAGCCTGCGCCACGTGGGGAGGTGGAGAACCTGGCCTGAGAGCGCAAGGGCCACATCGGGACTGTGGAGTCCCCACAGCAGCTGGCTTGATGAGATGGTTCAGAAGCCCTCTAAAAAGTCACTCCCTTGCCCAGAACCTCCAGGGACTTACCATGGCTCTGGGGATGAGGCCCATGCTCCCTGGCAACTCCTGTACCACTGGCCCTGGCCTCCTCTCCTGCCCCCCCACCCTGACTGTCTCCATCTCAGGGCCCTTGCCCCTGCCATATCACCCTGTTTGCTTTCCTCCACAACTTGCACAGATGTCTTGGACAATACTGTCTGTCCATCCCTTAGAAAGGAGGGGGCAGCCCACTCGGGCAGAGACCGGGCCTGCCCCAGGTGATGCCAGGCGCCCATCACCTGGCAGGGACCTGGCCCTCCGGGGCACAGAGATGACAGTGTGCAGAGTGGAATGACCTGGGGCAGGCAGGCAGGCAGCACCCACCCTCCCCTCCTGGCTGCACGGAAGCTGGCGTGACCCCTCTGGATGACCTCTGCTTATAGATCCAGGATGCCAGAAACCATGTGAGCCAAGCCATTTACCTGCTTACCAGCCGGGATGAGAGCTACCAGTTCAAGACGGGCGCTGAGGTCCTCAAGGTGAGCTCCCCCGAGGCCAGACTCTTGGGCCTATAGGGTCCCACGTCCTGGATCCGGAATCACACCTGGGTTCCAATCCCAGGGCCTCCACTTGGAGCTGTGCAACCTCTAAGCACTTACCTGCCTACTCTGTGTCTCTATTTTCTACCTGTGGGGTCAGGGGCAAGCTGCAGTAACCGTTCGCCATAATTCAGGTCATGGAGCCCCCAGTAAGCACTCGGCACATACCGCTGCTGGCAGCAGCAGTGAAAGCCTTCACATTAACCGCATGGCACATGTGAAGAGCTGACTCAGGTGCCTGACCTCACGCTTGAGTTCTGCCCCTGACTCACTGTGTGTCCTCTGGTGGCTCACCTGCCCTCTCTGGACCTCTGTTTCCTCACACGTAGAACCAGATAGACTAAGATCCCCTCAAAAACTGTAACCACCCTAGGGTGCTGCAGCCCCCATGCCCCCAGTCAGCTCTTACGTGTTTCCTGGGAGCCACATCACCCTGGTACTCATGGCCACGGCTGGATGGCATGAAAGCTGGGGCTCTGAGGAGTCTGCCAGGGCTCTGCTCCACAGCAAAGGGAAGGGATGGGCTCCAGGTGGTCCCACCATCCACCAGCTGTGACCGTGGCTTACCCTCCTGAGAACCTCAACCCAGCCATCCATCGCCTCCTCCAGGAAGCCCTCTCTGACTTTTTGCAGCCAACCTTTGTTGCCTGTACCCCTGTCGGCAAAGCCTGCGCCCCTGGGACTGACCTCCCAGGACCTTCCATTCCCCATTGATCCAGCTCCCGGGACCCCTGTGCAGTGAATCAGCCCTGTCCTGACTGACATCAGTGCAGACGTCCTGCCCTCCCCCACACCCAGCTGGAGCCCAACCACCTGTCTTTAACAGGCCCCTGCTGCTGGGTCCTGGGAACCGTAGCCACTGGGCGGGAGTGGGAGCTACCATATCTGTTGTTCCCTGACGCGTGGGGGCCCGGGAGGAAGCAGAGCCAACCCCGCCCCTCCCTGCAGCTGATGGACGCAGTGATGCTGCAGCTGACCAGAGCCCGAAACCGCCTCACCACCCCCGCCACCCTCACCCTCCCTGAGATCGCCGCCAGCGGCCTCACGGTCAGTGTCCCTGCCAGCCCCTGCCCCAGGAGAGGGGTCCCCACAGCGGGGCCCAGCTTGCCCTCAGGATGGACACCAAGGGGTGCCACCCCCCAAATTATAGTTAGAATTCTGTCCAGGCAATTTTCTGGGATGGGGTCCTTGGCTTCTGCCCTGTGCCCCCAAAATACGTTAACCCTGTTTGGGGTTAGTGGTTCCCAAACCTGACAGCACAGGAAGGTACTTGGGGCACCTGGGAAAAGTCTGGAAGCCCCCCGTTCACGGGAAGAGCATCTCTGGGGTGGGGACTGGAGTCGCCTGCAGACTCCATGAATGACTGCACAGCCCTGCTCCATCCAGTCTGGGTTGCGAGCTTCGGAGGGTCTCATCCTACCTGCCTCCCGCAGCGGATGTTCGCCCCCGCCCTGCCCTCCGACCTGCTGGTCAATGTCTACATCAACCTCAATAAGCTCTGCCTCACGGTGTACCAGCTGCATGCCCTGCAGCCCAACTCCACCAAGGTGAGGAGGGACCCCTGTCCGGCCCGCTGCCCCCCATGCACACACCTTGCAGGGCCTGATGGGTCTGGTGCTGTTCTCCCTAGAACTTCCGCCCAGCCGGAGGCGCGGTGCTGCACAGCCCTGGGGCCATGTTGTAAGTAGGCAGGGGAGAGGGGTTCAGGCATGCCCACCCCATCCCTCTGCACCTGGAGGGCCGGGCACCCCCTCAGGGACCCTCTCACCGCCCACAGCGAGTGGGGCTCTCAGCGCCTGGAGGTGAGCCACGTGCACAAGGTGGAGTGCGTGATCCCCTGGCTCAACGACGCCCTGGTCTACTTCACCGTCTCCTTGCAGCTCTGCCAGCAGCTTAAGGACAAGGTGGGGCCTGGGCCGAGCGCCTTCATTGGGGAAGGGCTTCTAAGGTCCTTGCCACACCCTCAGAGTGCGCTAACCTTGGGGTCTGGTGTACCCTCACAGTGGGCAGGGGTTGTGAGGGCCCTGCCCCACCCTCAGAGCGCCCCAGTCTTGGGGTGTGTTGTACCCCCACAGTACTGCTAAGCAGCAATGCCCTGTCCTGACATACCGTCCTTGGGTGACCTTGACATCTCCCCTGGGCCATCCCATCCCCTCCATCCAGCCACTCACCACACCCCCTCTCCTTGCAGATCTCCGTGTTCTCCAGCTACTGGAGCTACAGACCCTTCTGATCACAGCACCCAGCAGCTTGTCTCCAGGAAGGCAGCCCGTCCCCTCATACCCGCCCCAGAGCACCAGCCAGCACCAATGCCAGGCTGCTATTTATCTCTCTGTCCTACCCCCACCCCTGCCTAACACATTTGCACTGCTGGGAATGGACACTGGAAGCACCAGGAGGAAGGGAGGCTAGTCTGGTAGGGTAGTGGGGAGGTCCGGAAGGCGGGGCCGAGGGCGTCCCACATTCCCAACCCCGCCCTTCTGGTCACCATGGGAATCTTTGGACTCAGGACAGGGCCAGGCCCAGGGCTCTCCTTCCTGTCCCCTTCGCTGTCCCCTCCCCCTGGAGGGTGGGGGGTGGCACTAAGCTATGAGTCCCAGGGGACAGTCAGGAACGGGCGCAGGCAAAGCCACCCCAGGAGTGAGTGCAGTGCTGGTTACTGTGTTCCATCGCCCCGATCCAGGGCCCTCTAAGAAATAAAGATCATCAGATTCCACCTGGAGCCGTGTCTGTCTGTCTGAGTGGGGACCCAGGCAGGCGGGGGGTCCCTGGTAGTCAGTGGCCATCAACTTTAGGAGCCAGCCGTCTCCCCTATTCCCAGAGCCTGGCTTCCCCACTCCTTGTGCCATGCAAGGGCTGGACACAGAACCCACCTTCGAGAGAGGACGGGTTCTCTCTTGTCCTCTCTGCCAAGAGGTCCGGGGGGTGGTGACAAGACCTCCACCTGGGAGTTCGGGCCGCCCGGTCTGAGACCAGCTCCCCTCCCAGCTAGGTGACCCAGGATGATCTGGCACAGTGGTGTTGACTGAAAGCTTAGAGAGGCCAGGTGGGCACCTGAGTGGGGTGGTGAGTCCCATGTCACCCACCCAGATGGGGACTGGAAGACACTGCAGACTCAGGCTCTGGGCAGACAAGGCTTTGTTACTGCCACCGGGCAGGACACAGGGTCAGGGTTCCAGGGCCAAGTTATCCACTCCCTTGGGTCTTTCCTGCACGACAAGCACAGAGGGACCGAGCAGGTTCGCTCCTTGTTCCCTAGGGGGATGAGCACCCTTCCCACCACTCCCCCACCCCCCGCTTCTCCACCCCTAGTACAGTTCCATGCAGGTCCCGGTGGCCGGCAGGGCTCACCTTCCAGGGGCTCACCTTCCTGGGGCTTGCCCTGCGGGGCCCAGGGGAGCCACAGCAGCTGCAGCACCAGCAGTGGGCGATGACCAGCAGCAGCAGGAGCAGCACCGTACCTGGGGACAGGACAGTCATCCAGGTGTGACCCCAACCCAGGGCCCAGGGCAGGGGGCTGGGGGGACCCCGAGGCCGCAGCCACACTTACCCACGAAGATGAGGAAGATGATGAAGGCAGCAGTGTCCCATGTGGACTGGAAAAACTGGTGGCTCTTCAGTCTCCCCAGGACTTCCTGAACTGTGGTCTCCAGCTC